AAACGCATGCTAGTGTTAGCATGTGATATTGTACAATGTGTGCACGTCTCGACATATTTGCTTCTTTTAATGTTATATCAATGTGACGGTTGAAAAATGTATGTTTGTGATCTCGGCGACGGTTCTGAGGCAGAATGTTTTAAACTGTCATATTATATGTTCAAAGTTATATTATGTAATAATAAAAGTTATATTATGTAATAATATTATAATAAATATGAAATATTGTATTAATAGAAGACATGATAAAACACCAACATTTTCAGAGCAGCCAATAAATATGAGATTATAACGATCTTGTGCTAGCAAATTTATTTGGATTTATTTTACTTCTCGTTAAAAATGTATTATTCTACAAATATGAATTTGTAACAAGAAAATATATTTGTTCGTTATATTTCTACAAAATTTTTTAATTTAATATAATGTATATCAAATATTAATAAAAAAATAGAAACAAAAATATCGAAGCTTGTAGATAATAATCAAGAATATTATTGATGATAAAATGTATGATTAGAGCGTAACACACTCTGTACAAATGTATATCAAATTTCTCAATTTAAATAGCACGTGATCGCATTTTTACTCTCTAGTATCACTTAGATGTTAATTCATTTGTTCTTTTTTTTACTTACATTCTTTACGCCCAATAACATTCTAGGCTTAATATTTGTTTTTTTTTTATTATCGAATAAATTGTGGATATATGTAAAACACATAAAGAACAACATTACTCAGCATTACCTTACTTAACTAATTAATATTAGCCTTTGTTACATTTCTTTTTATGATCAGTCCAAGTTGCACAACATTTTATGTACATATATCACTCAGCTCCAGCAAATTTGCCTTCTCAGATATTCACAATTTATTTATTTTTCGATTGAATTAACGTCTGAATCCCTTTCGCTATAAGTAAGAGTTAATATATATGTATATGTGTACATGTGTATCTTCACTGCAATATTTCAAGCATTATGTACTTACAGTCCTAAAGCAGTCTTGGAAATTCTTTCGGGTATTAGGCATATTATTGAAAAATCTGTACATTAATTTGTAATATTTTTCTGTAAAATCAACTCAATAAAAAAAATGATAAAAATTAAAATCGTTAATGTAATATGTTATAGGAATTATACGACAAATGCTAAATTTAAATTTTCATTGTCAACTTTATCGTTTGCATAAATGGACCAAAAGCAGACACTTTTTTCTGGAGCTGATTCAAATAGTTAAATTTAGTCTTCTCACATGATGACTGTAAAGTAAAACTTAAATTTCAATTTAAAGCGATTATATATATCTAATTGAAAATATTATTCACTTCTGTAAGATGAAATTATTTATTATAACACTTCAACTCTTGTTAAATTTAATAGCATAAACACAAATTAAAAATTTATATTGCATTCTCTGTGACACTATTTTTGTATCCAATATATAAATTATACGTTATATTATAAACATGTTCATAATTTAACAAAACTAAATCGTATATAAGTCTATTCTATCATTCTTGGCTCCACTCTGCCCATCATGTAAATACGAACAATATTTTATACATAAGCCTAATATTCCGCGATATATTTATGTTATACTTTACACATCAAGGATTAACATTGGGCATGAAGTGCAGACTGATAAATATACATAAATCAAATATTTATTGTACAATTACTACTACTTACATTGACAACCGAAAAATTTATTGAAAGTATTTCAAAGGCAACTGAATTCTTAAAGAAATTGCATATTTCTGTTTAATCCATGAGTGTGGTTGTTTTACAATCGTTACAAATATACATATATATACAAACTAAATACTACGTCCGTTGAACTGGATAAAGTTTCATAGTGCCTGACCCATTGAAGAACCACTCTCTCTCTCTCTCTCTCTCTCTCTCTCTCTCTCTCTCTCTCTCTCTCTCTCTCTCTGCGCGAGCGATCAAATA